ACGGGACAGGACGGAACTGAATGGGGCCGGGCGAGACAAGCCAGACCCGAATGGAGCAAGACAAGACAGGACGGGACCAGATGGGATTAAACGGAAGGAGACGGAACCGAACATGATCGCACGGGACCGAACGCAATCGCACGGGACCGTGCGAAACCGGACGGGGCTGGACGGTACATGACAGAATCGGAGGGGGCTTTCACCTTCACCCTTCACCTTCACCTTTCAGCTCGTCACGATCGATGATTGATCGCAGCGGGGTTAGGTAGGCACATGTTTTTTTTTTGTCTCATTTCGAATTGGACCTCGTGTCGTTTAGATGAATTTCTCCAGGGTGCATTTTGTTGTCGAATACGGTACACAGTGGATTAAATGCTTGTAGCGTTATCACGCCCTCCTGACCACAAGAGAGAAGTGTACCCGTAAACCGGCCAAATAGAGTTGCTTCTGTTGACGAACAGATGAAGGCTAGGAGTCTCCGCGCTTGGCATGTGGAGACGGAAGCTAACACATCCTGCAGAAGGGAAGAAGATGGTCAAGCAAAATGCATTTTGATGCATTGTTAAGTGCTAATTTGATAACGAGCAAAGCATATAAAAACATTTTTTATGACAGGCGGCTTTAAATACAGATCTGAGACATTAGGCAAACCCTTGAGACTTGCATAAAAAATAGGGGAAAGTTACCGGTTTTGGTGAAAATATGGGCTAGGGTGTGACTTTTTTGAAATCCTATTTGGGCGTCTCAAATGAATACCACATAATTTTGGAGCTTGCGTTGTTTTCATCATTTTCAGCTCCATGCATGCTCCATTTTTGCAATTAGCAACGAAGTTGCAAGTTTATATGGAACTTAATTCAAATACTTATTTTATTTTTTAGATTTAGCCAGAACCCTCCGATACGATGCATTTCTGAGATCAGTGTCCGCACTAAGCAGCGCTTGTTGCGTGGGCGCTGCCCCACCGTTCGATCGTAGAAATCCAGGCCATCGGCAGAAACCTGCAGAGAAAGCCTTACGCGCCACAATCTCGGTGCGCTCAGTCCTGCCCTCTAACGTCACCTGAACTGAAGGGCGGCTTCCGCCACGTGCCACAGGACAGCCCAGTCAGAGGTAAACGGCAAGTGCGGAAACCGATCACAGCCCAATTCGCCACTAATGAATGAAAAAAATGCGGACACTGATACCTACTGAGTAATCGGGACAGGCGGAAACTACCGAGCCTTTCCCGTGATGTAGAGCTTACGCACGGCAAAATAAAATCATATGAGTGGGTAAGGTGTAGGTAGAACTGATAAGGAATGGGTAACAGGTTGCGGTGGATTACTGGATTTCACGGGTTGGGTAAGCCCATAGCTGCTTTTGTGACATAGGTAATAGCGCGGTCAACCCATAGCTGTTTTTGTGACAGGCAATAGCGCGGTCAACCCATAGCTGCTTTTGTGACATAGGCAATAACGCGGTCAGCCCATAGCTGCTTTTATGACATAGGTAATAGTGCGGTCAACCCATAGCTGCCTTTGTGACACGCGTAGCTGTGCGGTTTGGTATGGATTTTGGAAAACCTGTTACCGCAACCTGTTACCCATTCCTATGCTGATGTAAGGCGTTTACGAAACGTCGCGTAGATTCGCTAAGAAATGTTACGCAACGTTACTGCTTGTGATTCATTTAGAAATGACTGGATCCATTTGCACCACTTTTACAAGTGCCTTCTCAAAAGAACAAAGGTGAAAATAATCTTTCATGACAGTCTTCCATAATGCATTATTATGCCCCTGAAAAGTATAATACAAACGAGTGGGTATTGGGTGGGCATCACTCGTCAGGGATGGTTCAAGGCCGAGTATGTGCACAGCCCCATGGGTAAAGAGTGCACTGGGTTAGCAAAACCTTTTCCATTACCCATAGCTCATGATCCATTACCAAACCCATTACCCGTAAAGTCATCTAATATGTGCACAGCCCCATGGATTGCGGAGGGATTTGTTAGGGGAAATATGAAACTCTGGATCCCGTGTTTCTATCACATAACCTTCCATATCGGTCACCAGCAAGCCGTCCCATGCGCTTAAACGGCGCGCTTTGTTACTGGCTTTGACACTGAAAAGACGATTTTCTCCTCAATGTTTTCGGCAAGCAGCAACCTTGACACCTCATTAGTGTACCATGCTCAGGAAAATGGGGCATTCTGCGAGCAAGCTGCCATCCCAGCGGTAAGCATTTGAAAACCAGCACGTTGGCGGCCATCCGCAATCAAAGCACGCGCCGGCTGATACAAATGAGCTGATGTCACTTCGGGGATCTGTCTAACGCGCTGATAATATGCTCCATAGATTTTGAGCCATCTGCCAACACACTTAGCGACTCGCGACGGAAGCAAAAACAAAGCTGCAGCCTCGTATGTGGCAAACACGAACACAAACACGTCACGTCTTTAAACATAACATGTCGCCCACATCACCAAACAGTTCCAGAATATCCCCCGATGTTCTCAAGCGATACAACAGCGTATCCCCGACTATACACATATCGCCTTCATACAGACATCCTCTGCAGATCTCTCACACTGGCTCATGAGCTACATGTTCGAACACTTCTTGACGTTTAACACAACAGTTCAACTCGCCGTATGAGGTCAGTATCGGTGCGCGAAGGTTCACGCACAAGACTGAGCGCGCGGGCTGCTACGGCTGTTGCTGAGCGAGAACAGGAGCATTATCCTGGCATTGCCGACTTTGGGTGTAAAGCAACACCCTATGAGAAGGAATTTTTCACTCCTTTTCCCCATATTTGATGTGAATTTTTTCATTCCCGCCTGACATTGTCTAACAGCACATGCCAAACCCCTATTTCCCTTTCTGGAGTTTTCAGATGTCATCCAAAACCGAGCTCACTTGAAACCACCAAGCATAAACGAGGCTCCACAGAACCCGGACACCTATGGCTATGTCCTGCCTCACCCACATCTGAATCATGTCTATGTATGCACAGAGCAAGGACGCCAGGTACGTCCAAGACCAAGAACCCCAGCGACTCCAGCCGCCTGCACGCATTAAGTTTGGTTTGTTTACAAAATGCATTAAAATCGACAGCTGTGTGCCCATTGCAAGGCTTTCACACATCCCCTATTTCTTGTTTTCACCGCCACACCACGTACGCAGAGCCTGGTGCAAACACCAGCAAGGCCTGGTAGAGAATTTTACTCCACGTATTTCTTTTTCCCGAGGAAACTTGACCACTAAATTACATCACTCCCGAAATGCAGGAGTGAAGGATTCAAGAAATGTCTTCGGATTAAATTTACAAAATGAACACCACCATTTGAACACTTGGTTTAACAGGTTTTAAGTCAACTCAGCTGATAACAAAATTTTGCCCGAAAAGTATCGGTCTTTATATTTATTTACTTACTTCTATTTTTCTTGGTGTCATGCGAGTGTGATACCACTTTATTCTTCCTTTCTTTTGGATTGCCTTTAGAGGTACCATCTGTTGCTTAAAATGTTCACCAATTTCGCTGCAAGATTCTTCAACTGCAAACTTGTACGTATTTCATACATAAATTGGATTAATTCGCCGGCCGCCCAAACATGTTTGATACGATACGTTTGATACATGTTGTTTGATAATGCACGCAAGGGGGAACAATTCACAGGAAAGAAAGGAGACAATTTAAGGTACGGAACTTATTTCTACCTCCATTTTCGCCCTGTTAAACCCTCGTTTAACCGTTTTCTTGGTACATGTCGGCGGTCAATAATGATAAATCTAAGCCTTTCGAGTGTCTGACTCACCAGGCTACCTGACAAAGCCATCATAATGCTGCCACACAGAGCTTTCGGACAGACCTGACGCAGCTAATACAAAAGTGTTTGGTGGCGAAATTCTGTCCTCTGGAGATGTTTACCATGCGCACCTTTTATTTGTTTCGCATTCTCATCTCGTAGGTTGGAAGGCATGATTGATATTTATATTTGGGGGGGGGGGGGGGGAGTGGGATAACTGTCTGCCAGCAGACCATGCAAAAGGTGCTAACTTTTTGTCTTGGGGGAGCAGGAAGAAGCCAGTAAGTCTCCTGTGAACCAAGTAATCGCCTACCTTACCCGCTTTCAACACATGATTGGTAACCAGAGCTAGCCATTTTCTGTTTCAATCAAATGAGTTTTGTCATAAGACAAATTATAATGCCCTAAGGCATGCAATGGGCTTATTTTGTTCCACGTTCTTGATTATTTGCCCCAAACTTCTTGAAGTAACCCTTCATTGTTGCTTTAACCAGATGTTTTCTACAGTTGTCATGGTTTGCTGTCTGGCAAAAGACTGGACTGTTGATATGCACTATATTTTTAACACGGGGATACTCTAAGCTGCATAGCAATTATAATATGAGTTAAAAATTAGTATGTAACAAATGGTCAGACCATCCCATTTAAAATGTGAAGCCAAGGTGTCAGATTTTGCTGTTAAATATGAATAAACAAGCCTAAATGGATGCCTTGGCTGCAGCTGAAAAGGCAAGCAGCAATACTGGCATGGTCGTCTAAAGGTAAAGGAGATTGTTTCGTGGAGCAAACCCGTTTCTGCCCTTGACATAGGTTAACCATGACAATCAAAATAAGCTGTTCAGTGATTTCAAGTATTTGATTTGTGTGTTGCCAACTTTGCCTGATGTCAACAAGCGGACGCAAATGAACTGAATACAAATGCAATTTGAAACCAGCCAAAAATTAGCTATATTATATTTATATCGCAAATGCTGCCGTCAACAGATAGGTGAGTTGAGATGATGTACAACATATGGGCTACTCTAAGTTAGGTTAAGTTGGTTAAGTGCATGGCAAGTGGCAAAAAGAAATTGTGCAAGAATCAGTAACTCACAACTGCTGCTGTGATACAAACAGGTTAGACAGGATGAAATGAAATAAGGCTTTTTTACGTTAGGCATAGTTCGGCTACTTTCGTGGAATAAGCATTGGTATTTTGTATGAAACAGTGACAAAATGCTTGTTTTCCCTGACCCCATCTCAATAAAAGCCAGAGGTATGTCTATTGTGTTTGACTTGGTGATGAGCTGATGTGTAGGGGTCCAAGGTTTCTTTCTGTTCGAGTGCTTTATGCTTGTTGAATTTTCTGTTATTTTGTCATTAAATTTCTTTGCTTTGTGTTGTGTTAAAGTCCTGTGGAAGGGAAGTGCAAAATACAACATCAAATTATTGGCGTTAATAACTGTTTATGCTCATTACACTGTCATGAAATTGCTATGCTTTAATTATTCTGTTTCACTTAAACGGTTTAAGATGTTAAAACCCAAAAGTTTTGCCAGGTTTATGATAGTACGTGCATGCCAACTTGAAATATGTGTCTTTGTTTGCTGAAGCAACAGTCACGAGCTCATAAGTTACATCTTTTGTGAATTAATTTTTTCACTCCTGCGCGGTCTTTTTGCGATGAAATTTTTCACTCCCACCCTAGTTCAAAAGCAATTCTAGCTCCTTGCGCATGAGCCTCTATGGCTCCGGAGATAGTCCTCATCTGTAGTAGATGTAGAGAGTGGCAGACAGCCCCATGGCGAGAACAGCGGCCACGTTCAGGACGCTGAAAGCAGGAAGCAATAATCATCGAAAATCGTGGTCACTGCTGAATTTTCCATTTGGTTTCTTAGCATGAACTGCAGTTGTACAATGCTAGAAAACAAGTTGATAACGCACAGCTGGTGAGGCGGGTACCTTTCGATGGAAAAAACACACAGATCGCGGCGCCAGCCCAGTTGTAACGCACGTTCGGACTCCATTACCACACCAGTCATGTGCTCCATTTTCTAACCATGGCCAGATCGCCATTGCGTAGAGTTCTGTCGCCCTGTCACACAATGACAAGTACATATGACCGTATGACAAAACGAATAATCGGTTAGGGTTAGAACTACATGGAATTTAATCCGAAGGGAGGGAAGGGGAAGTAGGGATGGGGCGGAGGGGGGGGGGGGGTAGGGCATGGTCTTTTCCAAACACAAACCCCGTTCTAGTTTCCCGACTTTTGGTGACTTAGGCGCCAGATTACGGGGGATCGCGGAGCCAGGCAAACACTCGGGGTGAATGGGGTATTGTCACCCCGCCCATCCCGCGTTGATGACAAGCTGTCTCCCTTTGGACAGTTGCCAGGTGAGTTTCGTACCTTTGTCGTACCAATCAGCGCTCAAATTCCTAGCTTTGAATCTACTGAGTGTCCTGACCACCTGCTGCACATGAGTCTCGACAACTGCACAAAACAAGGCACACATTGCGGGCCTTGCGGGCCAAGGCACTCAGTGACGTTGGAAGACATAGCCCAGCCCAAATTGAAATCCCTTACAGAGGAAGATGCCTCACATGCGCTGTCGTCGGGTCTCCTTGAGGACACTGGCGGCCGCTCGGGCCCGCTGTTCACCCGTCTGCTCCGCGTGCCGGCCGTCCGGCGCAGCCTCGGCGTCGCCGTTCTGCGTTACACAGCAGAGCACGCGCAGTGCTCGCCGGCACGCCGTCAGCGGCTCGTCGTCCCCTGCAGCGGGCACGCGGTCACGACACGGCCTGCTCTGGGGTCGGGTTTGAGTGCACGGCGGGTGTGAGGCTTATAGCGTGTGGTGTCACAGCTCTGTCAGCATTGTTTCCTGGTCAGTGTAGAAAGTGTGCAATGGGTTTGCTTGCAGGCATATGCGCGCCACACGGTTGTCGCGGTTATTTTTACACAGAGCAGCAGCTTGAGTCTCTCTTCTTAGAGTGAGCATAACAGCAAGGTTTACTTCAGCGGCGCTGGCACAGGGCTGCTAACGTTTCCAACGCGGTTCTAACGCTATGGCAACCACCCGTTCCTGCCCCCTCCCACTGCCCCATCCTATTTCCGCACCACTCACCGTGTTCTCCGTCCGCGCCGTTCCGCTCGTGGGCGCTGCCGTCGGCGCGGATGTCGTCCCTACTTTTTCGCAGCGGGCGGCGCTCGGCCGTGCTGTGCCGGGTCCAGAACGTCAGCCGGTGCAAGCAGGCGGCCGGCAGCGGCTCGGTCAGAAGCGACACCACCACCACGATCGCGCACACCACGGCGAACAGCAGCGGCCCGAAGTGCAGGTAGTGCACGCCGAAGACGACGCGTCGGATCCAGTCGGGCCGCCGGTCGGGCGCCGTCGAACCGCATGAGGGCGCAGCGAACGAGAACTCGGCGACGAACCGCGCTACGCCGATCGCCAGACCCAACACCAGGCCGTAGAAGGCACCCTGTGTGCATAAAACCCATGCCTATTCACAGGATCTTGCTGCATTATGAACACTCGCTGTGATACCAATGAGTTCAGTGAGCAGGAGAGCAATGCTCGGGTTTACCCAGGGCAATACAACACCGGGTACTCGAAAGTTTTGACCAGTAGGTATCAACACATACTATAAGTATACCAGAAACGGGATTAACACCAGATTTAGGATGTTGTACGAAAAGTTGGCAGTTCTGTGTTAGCGGCATCTTTGGTTTGTATGTGGCGATTAAGTGTAATCACATTTCACAATCCTAAAACACTTGAATTGCGGTGCGGTATTGGGGATGGTGGTTGGAGGATCAGATTGTGTTCAAGTAATTTCAGATGCCTCTGGGCTAATCAGATGTATGTTGTTCTTTACCAAGTCACATTATGTCTCAGTTTGCATATAATGACTCATTTAAACATCCTGTAGCAAACGTGATAATGTAATGATTCAGTTACTGCACAACTTGCCAGTGATGAAGGTTGTGGCCTAGGCTACCAGCTGTTGAATGCTTGTGGAATGCTGCATGCAAAGTGATTGGCCAGGGCTTGCTCAGGTATATTTATGTTGGAGCTAAGGGTCTTGTTAATTTTTAATACATGAATGTTGAAATTGTTGTCTGATTGACATTTGAATATTCCACATAAGCATTGATAGCCTTTGTCCACAGTGATGTTACCACCCATGAAATGGGCCAACCAGTAATTATGTCAGTTCAGCACAGCTGTGTGGTTGCATTAGATGTGTTTATTGAGACATGAAAGGCACTGTAATTAACAGAAATGTTTGGTATGATGCAATGTCGGGCACATATGTGGTATGACATTTCACCAAAGGAGTTATCTGCCTGTGCTGTTTAGAAAAGGTCATCTTATGTGAAAAATTGGCTGAGTTTTCCAGCATAATTCAACTTATGTGAAATCATAAGTTATCTTTTCTTATCATATCATAAGTTATCTTATCATATCAGAAGAATCAATGTGTGTTGCATATTGGTGGGCTGTGCTGAGGGCAACCCTACCTCACCACCTAATGTGTGTTTTTCATTGTGTCTGGACATCTCATTTTGACTTAAGGTGATTTAAAGTTGTAGTTTTGTGTCTTTCCTTCAAAAGTACAGCCAATGCCATCAAATAGTGCCCAAAGCAGGTTGTCATGATGTGATAGCTGCTTTTACCTTAGTTTGTTTTGTAATATTCTAGCAACAATATGAGAAGGGCAAGCCAACATTTGCTAGTGCGTTTCAACATTGTTTGAGGAGGCCACCATCACAAGATGCAATTGCTCCATGCAACTGTATGCAGCATAAACCTGGCATTGAACAATAACCTGTGCTTGGTAAATGTATCCAATGTAAGCAACAAATGTTGTAGTTAATGTATTTAATGGGTGCATTGGTTTGTGTTGTACCTGAAATGTACAGTTAGTCAGGAAGATAAATCATCTTTATGATTTATGACAAGTCTCATGCTGAAATAATTAGATCATGTAGGATACAGGGCTATCAAATTAATTTCAACATTATAGAATGTCTGCTTATGCAAGGGAAGTTTTCAGATTGGTGACATTTATAGAAACAGATGTTTTGTGTCAAATATTGCAATATTCTGCATGCTAGCTGTAACCCTGCCCTCAGCACTGTATCTGTTACACAACATCATTGCATAATTTATATCAACACAATTTCCTCATGATAATATGAGCAAATGCTGAGTACATGGTGGTACATAAATATTATATAAATACAGCATGTTGCATCTATATAAAAATGTGCATAACTGGGGCATGGTTTGGGGCAATCTAAGGCCCATTGATAGTTTTTATTGCCTTGAGCCAAGGCTGCATATGTTTCAGATACTGATGCACCTTCTAAAGCTGCCCATTTCACTTCAGCTGCTTAGGTGTACATTTCCTACTCTGAGGTCAATGGATGAAAGGTAAAGTTATCAATTACAAGGCTTGATGAGGAGTAGAAAAAAATGTCATATTGAAGTTTCAAATAGCTATTTTGCAGGTTTTGTGATGTGAAAGCAAGATTTGTGTGGTTTATTTATTCAGTGGAGCCAGTGATAGAATGTTTGTATTCACCTTATGCCAAAAACCCTTCATGTAAATGGTTTTAGGGAGCATGGTTACTTAGGCCATGGGTCTGTCAGGTGTTTAAGCTCTTCAAGATCAATCAAAGAAGTTTTGATAAATTTTGTCATATCAGGGCCTTTGTGCAGTACAGCTCACCATTATGGCACTTATCATCATAATGCTTACAATCCCGCTTTTAAGCACAACTGCTCCCCAATCAGCGGTGCTTGCAATGCTACTATGCTATCGTCGCTGCGCTGGTTCTGAGGCGGCATTGCCGGCCCTGCACAACAGTGGCCGCCAGCATCACAACTTACGAACCTAACACAGTGCCTGGTCCTACCTCTGGGCGCGTTGGATAGCCAGCCTTGGACCGCTACCGTCGCGATCGGTTCCATGCGTCAGACACAATAATGCTATGCGCCCCAGCCATAGGCTGTTGTATGTAGCCCGACGGCTGCATAACACCTGTCAGGTATATTTGATGAACATAAAAAGATATGTGTATTTCTTGTAATAGCCCGCATCATATTTCACAGCACAGCAGATGCATTTTCAGGCCACACATGATATGCATATATATGCATACTATACACACACAACACACACACACACACACGCACGCACGCCGCACGCACGCACGCACACACCGCACACACACCACCCACGCACACACACACACACACACACACACACACCCACACACACACACACACACCCACAACACACACACACACACACACACACACACAACACACACACAACACACACCACACACACCCACACAACACCACACACACCACACACACACACACACACACACACACACACACACCACACCACAACACACACACACACACACACACACACACACACACACACACACACACACACCCACACACCACACACACACAACACACACACACCACACACACACCACAACACACACACACACCACACACTCTCAACAACACACAACACACTCTCTCTCTCTCTCTCTCTCTCTCTCTCTCTCTCTCTCTCTCTCTCTCTCTCTCTCTCTCTCTCTCTCTCTCTCTCTCTCTCTCTCTCTCTCTCTCTCTATATATATATATAATCAGAATAATGTTGCACTCAATAGTTCTACGCCCAGTTAGTGGCCGTATTCACTCCGTGTTCCATCTGAACTCTGCTGAAAAGAGTTGGCGGCAGCGGGATTCGATCCCGCGCCCGGACATCGTGGCGCGTGCATGGGTCTGCGCTTTGCCTGATACCTCGAAAATGAGTGCCACGGCGCACACTTTTGATCTTGGAAATCGAAAGAGAATTGTTCAAGCTTCATTTTTATGCACTTTTTATGCATATATATGTTCAAGATTTAGAAGGCCGTGGGTCTGAAGAAGGTCATTTTAACATGGGAACCCTATGGCTAGTTGTGAAATGTGCGCCGTTGCTGCCATATTTTATACTAGACTTTGGACCCCCCTGGGTTTACCAATCATCAGCGGCATTCTCCGTCCGCGTCGTGACATCTGTCCGAAGGGAAACAGCCTCTGACGTCCGTCAGACCACATTGCCAGCTTCCCCCAGACACGGGACAGTGGGCTGGGCTGGTTATACACATCCCCGGCTCCAGACCACCGCCTGCGCGGCGCCGCCATCCTGAGGCTGGCGGGCTGTTGGACGTACCGGCTCGGTGGTCCGACTCCAGAACACGGAGAGCACGTAGACGGCGCAGATGGGCGGTGGTAGGTACGATTGCATGCTCTGAATGTAGACGAACAGCTGGTCCGACGAGAAGTTGTTGATGATGGGCACCCACACGATGGAGATGCCCACCATGACGATAACGAACATGCTGAAAACGGGCCGTCTCTTGTCAAACGGCAATCATTCAGGGATTACGCACACGAGTTGTCGCAATGCTGCCAGCACAATGTGTACCACGTGTACATGCAGAATGTGTACCACGTGTACATGCGCATAGATACAGCTCTCATCCACGCCGATATTAAATAAAGCTTAATCCATATCAAAGAGGACATTTTTGTTGTATGCATGCTGCGGTCTACGCACACAATGCGGGCACCAATACAAAAATGGAGACAATAAGCCGCGGATGGGATAACGCGTTAAGTAAAATCACACTGTTTATGTCTCCGCCGTTGCTAATCCTTGCAAGTTCATTGTATTCGATCCTTACCGGCCCACAATGACCTGCTCGATCTCCGTCGCATTCGTTCTGATCCGCTTGTATATGTCGATGGAGAACAGCGTGGACGCAGAGTTGAAAATGGACGTCAGCGAAGACATCAGGGCGGCTAGCATCACTGCCAGCATCATGCCAGAGAGGCCTGCGGAGGCGGTTGGCAGTCAACGGCACCATCGCCGGCATCAGCCATGAAAAGTCGGTTTTTTGGTGCCCATTTCAGGTTGGTTAAGGGAGCGACTGACGAGGTTGATTGGCGTGGCATAACTATTGGTATCATTTTAAGTGGAACAGACTGCTTTAGACCATACAACTGCTCCTGGGCGCCTGAATGACCTTGATGGTTGGGTGACCTGAAAACAAGCTTCCTGGAATAATCTGCACGATATATACCTCATACCATATACCTTCGTGGGCGTATAGCTAAGAACTAGAGGGGCTTAGATCTAAAGGGGCAGGGCTGTGAGCTGCACCGAATGATCTTCAAAAAGGCTATTTCAGTTCATACCCCATACCGAGGAGGAACACTTCTTTTAAGCCAGGGCAGTGACTGCTGAGGCGTGCTAGCGAAGCCAAAGATAACTGAACCATACTGGACCAAGGAAAGCTGAGCCAGTACCACACTTTGGTCAACGCTTTTTTCTGTTCGTAAGTACCACAGTGCAAGGGAACGCTCACAGTCCCTGACACAGGACCTGAGACGTGCCTGCTAACGAGCCCGCGAGGTCACTCCGCGCAAAACCGTACAGCATTATTGAGGTAACGCTGTGTCGCAGTAAAGCTGGCGACGGGCACACGGTAAGTCATCATTACGCTGGCGTGTCGTTTTCATCCAGAATGCAGAGCACAGTACAAATCGGCGGCGAACGTAGCCATGCAATGCAGGCGAGCGCTGTCCCCTCCCACGCTAGCCTCCGGCATGACATCTTAAAAAGGGCGCCAGCCCGGTATCTCCGTAATGCAACGGCGCCTTCCAGGACGTGTCGCCGTCAAACCTCACCGGGCGGCAGCAGCTGCACCACGAGCTCGATGTAGGCGAGGTTGCTGCAGCCGGAGCGGGATCGGCAGAGCCGCCAGCAGGCCTCCGGGTCCGAGCAGGCCACGCGGTCCTTGTACAGCACGCGCGCCGCCATACCCGGGAAAACCATCAGCCAGAGGGGCAGCATCTTTAGCAGGGCGGCCAGCACTGTGCCGGCCTTGGCATGCACCAGACTGCGCGCGGCCAGGGCGCGCTGGACGATCACCTGCCGGTGGATCGGAGCTGGTACAGGTGCAGTCAGGTTATGCTGGATGATCACCTGTCGGTGGATCGGAGCTGGTACTGGTGCAGTCAGGGTATGCTGGATGATCACCTGCCGGTGGATCGGAGCTGGTACAGGTGCAGTCAGGGTATGGTGGGTGATCACCTGCCGGGGAGCAGGGCTGGTATTGGTGCAGTCAGGGCACACTGGGTGATCGCCTGCTGGTGGAGCGGGGCTGGCACAGGGAAGTCAAAGCACACTGGATGATCACCTGCCGGGGAGCGGGGCTGGTATTGGTGCAGTCAGGCTACGCTGGGTGATCACCTGGAACGTGTGGGTGCCTAAGACGCGAGAAGTAAATTTCCTGAACGTTCGTGGAGTAGGCGATTTATATTGAACTTCATTTAGCGACTAGTCATAATGTTGATGAAAACACGGCAAGTGATCAGCTATGGTACGAGAACACAGGGTCTGGTGTCTGTTTTTCAGTCTAATATGACCTTCCAGATTTAATGAAAGGTCAAATGACAAGGTGCTCATACCACGCAAAAGTTACAGGTCGATTTCCAATTTGTGAGCACCAGAATATTCTTTAGCGCATAAAGTAGGGTTCTCCAAAAAGGCCTGACCTTCCAATGTAACTGCGAAGTCAAATTCAAACTCAAATGACTTATTAAGGCTTAACGACTGATGACAAGCAGTTCGATATCATCCTGTAGATTTCGGGCGATGTGGAGTTCTTCGTCATTTGGCGACGCATTTGACCTTGAAGGAGGACCTCGAAAGTTTAGGATTTACTGACAGACGCTATTTTATGCGCTCAAGATATTCTGGTAAATGAAATCGGGATCGGTCGGTAACAGATGATACGGAGTTTCCCAACATTTTATCCTGTATTCGTTCAGGTCACGTCACCTTCAAAATAGACAGCAGATTCGGTGTTTCCGTGTCGCAATGGACCGTTGGGCGTATTTTTGTCGAGATAAAAAACTGTCAGGATAAATCACTAACAAACCACCAAATAAATTGCCAATTTTACGAACGTAATTACAGGGATGTTTGTGGACGTCGGGGAATGTTTGTGGCACTAGGTGGTCCTGGGAAATAATTTTCTTCTCTAAAACTCGTTATGGGCCATCGTAAGTTTCGGGCTCGGCCGCCTGTGTTTCGTGCCGCCTTTAGTGTGGAAACATCTCAGGTGTGTGTGTATCTGATATAATATAGCCAATGTTTGCTCTAAAACGTCGTCCACCTGGTGCGTCCTGACATATTAAAAAAGCAATAATTCAGCATTATAACACTGAACTCGTAATGCTATAAAATTGATAACATTTCTTGCTTACATCGAGTGATAGCAAGCTGGAACAGAACACTGCGGTTACTTGCACACCTACTTCAGCTTTAGAGCCATTTCTTTTCGAACCATCGCACCGGTTAGCAATAAATATTAAGTCACGTGTAAAACAAGACTGTAAACGGCGATAGGCACAGCCATAGGAGAGTCAGATGCTCGGCTCTCGTTGCTTACCTGATCAGAGCACCAATACCAGAGGGATATGATGGACATGCCGAATATCATGCCGGGCCAGGGCAGGTCTGAATCCACAGGGTCCCTGCCGACGTCATCAAAACAGGCATCACCGTGTGACATCCATTCACAGCCAGCTATGATACGCAGCCCACGGCAAAGGCTACGTTTCAGTCTGATACAGCTCCAGCCCAGGTTACGGTGGCCGACACGGGGCAGTTACATTGTGAATCTCGGGGAACACTTGCATGCATGCGAATTTCCTTGTCCTACATGGGTGGTTTTACAAACGCGACGGTCATTTCAAACGCTGATCAGAGCCACTTCTGCCTACGCAGTGATGCCAAAGCAGAAGGGCTAGTGCGTACCGCCAGGACGGTACGGATCAGGACGGTGGCGCACGTTCGTGCAGCTTGTCTGATGTGCACAGATGCACGGCGGCGTCTTCGTGCATTGACGCCCGGGGGTACGTGCGCTTCATTCAGTGCACTGCATGCACGAATATGTGCGTGAAGAAATATATACAATGAAATTGTGAGGCACACACGCAACACCAAACAGGTCGAGGACATGCGATGCTGTTTCACCCCGTGCAAGCCATTAAATTGATTTGGGTTTTGAGCGTTTTCTAGTTTTAGCCCCCCCGATTGCGGACCCTCGCATCGGCCCGTGCTCCGCCGACCTGAAGAGGTGCATGGCGTCCTCGCGGACGGCGCCACACGACCGGTTGTTCTCGTCGAAGAGGCTGACGTTGGCGCTCGGGAGCGACTCGAAGTACAACCGGACCATCGAGTCGTACCCGCCGACGGCGGTGAAGGCTGAAGCGAGGAACCGTACCGAGATGTAAGGCGCGCACACGCGCGCAACGAACCGCGCGCAGAGAGAGAGTTAGGCTTGCGTCCGTTGACATTCCGACCACAGTGAAATTGTAGTAGTAGAGCTCTGTAGGACCCCGGACTTGGAGAGTGCAGCTGGGCCACAGATCTCCTGATCTTCAGGCAGCCAGACCAAGGGGTTCAGTCGCACCAACTGCCCGAACGGAATTCAGAGAGCGTTGCTCAGACCCACACTGACAGAGGATGCCATTCTCCGCTCCGGCAAACTCAACAGGACACGCCAACCATGACAGGCGGCATCGGTCTCATGTCCACCACCAGTCTCAGCAGACAGTACTCACAGAGGGCGGCCAGGACGCACGCGCCGACCACCATGAGCGCCGTCTGCACCAGATCGGTCCAGACCACCGCCGCCAGTCCGCCGAATATGGTGAAGGAGGCCGCCACCGCCAGCAGCAGGATGATGGACGTATAGAGGCCCCACTCGCCCTCCCACTGCATCGCACGCTGGATGAAGAGCGCTCCGGCGTACAGGTCCACCTGGCGGCCGCCACAGCGTGACGTCACATGGGCCCTGGCGTCGGACGGTCCGGAGCTGGACGTCGGAGCTGAACTAGTGACGTCACACTGGTGAGATCATGTGACGGAACCCAGGGTGATAGCGTTTATCCCGGGGCTGAAGCGAGGCCTCACGCGGGCCTTGCTGCAGCACTTGACAGAGCGTAACGTCTCGATTACAAGCGTTCTAGCAAGCACGCCAAACTGCCTGTTTCTGCCAAGTTTCGCCGGACAGACAGCAATGTCTATTCATCAAGCAACGCAGATGGCGAGTCCTACAGACTTCAGGTGCATTTGATTTGGATGGCGAGCCAGGTAGAAATTTTCATTTTTCACGACGTTTGGTGCCGAATTTTCTCTCAGCGGAATTGTAAGGCTGCGGTGCCCCACGTCTTATCAATATGCAGGCGTGATGCTCCCATTTCCCGTAAAGGATTGATGCATTGCCACATCTTGTTACCACCAATATGACACCAATATATGGCACCAATACGGCGCCAATTACCACCAATATATGGCACGGACCAAGTTCACCATAGACCACTCGAAAGCAAAGACGAAATCTACCTCCCATAACGCGGATTGCATGCACAAATATGCAAGGGAGCGCAGCTGCCCATACCGATATTTTAGTGAAGACGTAGAGTAGGATGGCGAGTACGGAGAGGTACAGCCGGATGCGCTGCCCTCCGAGCCGAAGTCGCAGATACTCAGGCATGGTGTACACGCCGGCAGACAAGTACACGGGTACAAACACCCAACCCAACACCACCAGCCAGAAGACGGCCTGCGGCGGTAGAGCGCTGAAGTCACTGTGCGCAGTTTGACGTCGGAGCAGGCACATCACGTGGACCACGGCGGACGCCGGTGACATAGCCCTGCCAGTGTTATCTGTGCATGGTCGTCGGTGCAGCGTTTTTGCAAGCAATGACGGGTGTGAAACAATCAGCAGCAGCTCAGCACCCCGTGACCACGCTTACAAGAACATGGTATTGGGGGCAAAGCGCGCCATACCGCACGGGAATCCCGGCCGGACAGGAACAGCACGCCACGCGGGCGCGCCATCACGAGGTTAATGCGAAGCGAAGGTCACGTGGTGAAGCCCCTTGAATGTCACCCATACGTTGTCTGCCAGTGTCCCTGCCTCGAATTCGAACTGTATCATTTTCAAGGCGCCGAACATCACTACCCTTCGCCAGCTCACAAGCCCCCGCACATCCGCAGCACCATCCTGAATGTTTATTCGTCCTTCAGACACCACCCGTTTTGCAGGCATGCCTCACAGCCATCAATCCTGGTGGCGTCGCCACCGTCAGATCCGCGCCGGATCCCCTCCAGCTTACGCTGAGCTCGAAGCCGGCCACGGCGATGCCGGACGCGGCGCCGGTGCCGGCCAGCCCGATGAAGTGGCCGCTGCCAATGTTGCTGGCGAACAGGGAGGCGCCAACCTGCGTCACAGCCGAAGGTCATATTGTACGGACTGGTGCGCTGCGGAGGAGACGGCGGGGTGGGGAGGGGAGGACAAAGGTCTGTAGTCCGGGCTGGGCGCGTGCTCTGGCCTGACGGGCGCACAAAGAGCGATGGGTATTGCATGGGCCACCACGGGCTGACCTTGGCCGTAGCGCTGAAACCGTGCCCGGTCGAGACATTGGCGGATACGCACGCAGCTACAG